TATGATGATCTACGTCATGATTCTATGTTGCTAATTAAATAAAATTATATGGTAATGACGTGTCTGACAGATATAGCCGTGAGTTTGTGCTAAGCGTACAATCTGACAGCATATGCTGACCTGACAGAACACTCTTCTTTGTTCTTGTAATCCTCTGCGTACACTGCAGTAGCTATCATTATTTTATTCAATTATGTATGTTGATATTTTTTAAATTAACAAATAACTAAAACACAAGAACGAAAGAATGCACATTGCTCTTTGATTGTTTTTGTTCAAAGTGGCAGCTGTAATGTGTGCCATGGTATCAGACTGCCTGGGTTTATGTAGCAGGAGAGAGGGTGAGAACAGTCACGATGAATGTCTTGTGCTTGGTTACTTCTTGCTTGTTGCTCCTTGGTCAGTGTTCATAGTTGAACGTTATTTACCATCAAGGTATTGCCTCAATTGCTATGTTTAATGGTGCAGACAGTGGTGGTTTCTTATATGAGCAATATGGGCAAATGCCCAGGGCGTTATGTTTTTAGGGATGGCACGAGACCATCACACTTTTTAGCACAGAAATGGAATATTTAATATTGGTAAAATGTATTAAGTATTTAATATCTAGGTGTTTTTATGGGAATATGGATCTTTTAGATCAATTTGAGAGGCAGTTTTGATCACATTTTACATTTTATTGTGTCGTAGCGCAGGCCGCTGGTCTTAGTCTTGACTCGGTCTCGACTTCCCTCGGTCTTGGTCTTGACTTGGTCTCAGACCCTAAAAGTCTTGGTCTTGTCTTGGTCTCGGGTTAGGTGGTCTTGACCACAACACTGCCAATCCAGAAGGAGAAGGTACGCTGGAGCTGATAGCACCAGTTTCTAACTCATGTTGTTTATAGTTGGCATTGGGATGAAATACTGCCTCAACTTTATTGTGGTGTGTTACAAAGACTTAAAGATGCTTTATTGTCACTTTAGACATCCATTTGTTATTTTCCAATTTGTTTTGATTTCTGCTAATAATGTTAGCTCCTGCTAATGGTGTTAGCTCTGTATACTATAGTAAAAGTTTGTTTGCTTGAACAGATATCTTGTGTATAGTGGGACATAAAACGTTGAGGCAGTGTGCCTTAATCCAGATGTTTGGTAGACTGCCCTGTCAGGCGGCCTCATGCATTGTGCAGGTGATAAAATGGAGACCTCTACAGGTGAAACATTAGCCTGATAAAAAAAACAGTCCCTTGTGGTACACTTTGCTTTGTCCAGAGGGTCTGGGCTCTTGGGTGTTAAGAAACAATTGCTTCCTGCAGGAGATGACTGAAGTTTAAAATTTTACGCAATCTCTAACATTTGTCCGTAACGAATGTTCACCGTTAAGAAGCTTACTTTCCTGTGCTGTAAACAGCCATCCTCCACTGTAAACAGAGAAGTGCTGATCCCAACGCGGCGGATGTTAGTAGTAATTCAATATTTGGAAGTGTGCCCAAAAAAGAGTGAATAATTTTGTTCAAGTTCTCTGCTGCCATTGCTAAAACTACATGAAGACTACAATTCTAAAACAGCGCAGAAACTCGTCCTGCTGTTCGTTGATTGGCCCGGGAAGAATCTGAGAAAACCCAGACTCTGTTGGAAGCAAGAATCATTTTTGAGCAGAATTGCACAAGAAAGCAATGGCCAGGCTTGTGAAAAATATAATAAGGATATATGTTTTTTAAGTCATTGGATTTTTACATTTCACAAATAACTTTTTTGTTAAAAGGAAAATTAAAAAATGTTTAGGCCACATATTGAGCTAATCACAGATCCCTTTAAGTATGAGTGATGTGTGTATCATTGTTTCTCTATCTTAGCGATGTGTTGGCTCACGGAGTAATGGACAGGACATGTCCAGGACAGATCACACTGTTCCTGTTGTCTGTAAGGACAGGCTCCAGAAGAGGTGCGACTTATTTTTTTTGTTATTTGATTATCAGTTACTGCCTAATCGATTACGGATGTTAGTTCATTGTTCCATAAACTATCTAAGAGTTCCTTCAGGTGGTAAAATATTTATTAGCTGTGACACAAAAACTAAAACTAGGTTTGGCTGGCCTGTCAGTTGAGCCAAATGGAGCATTTGTATAATGCAGAATTGAGTACATCTTCAGCAGTACAGACAGAGCATCAGCATGACTTAGCATGAGATTAAGTAATGTGATGGTTGGGTCATTTCTGCATTTCAGTTTCACTTGTGTAGCGTCTGTGTGGTTTATTTGCTGCTAATGAGGTTTGACTCTACGAATACCACAGAATTTTTTGGACAGGTCCAAACAACCTGTAGCAAACTGGTTGACCTGAATAAAACATAACAGCTGATATACTGGTTACTTCATATGATGCTTAGAAAAAGATCTTAGTCCATAAAAGCGTAGTCCATAAAAGCATGATATTTTTTGTCTTAATTACAGCAACCACTATAAAGTAAGTACTTCACCAGCAAATGAAGTAAAACAAATAACGTAAAGGTTTAATGTTCTAAAAGCTAATATTCTTATTATTCTTGTATCTTGGATTCTGTTAAACAAGTAACACCTGTAAATATGGATCTGGTTCATACAAATGTATCTAGCAACAGTCCTAATCAGTTTCAGTGCCTATAATTTTGCATCATATTTCTTCTAACAGCTACAGGATCTGAATAGTTTCAGATTCACTTTTATCAGATTATAGTTCCATTCTTAAATGGAATTAATTCTGGATAAATATTAATTTCCTAAACAATTTCCCTCCAGCGTATGTTTTTCTTCAGATGAGAGGAATATTTATGCATTTATTCTGAGACGTAAAAAACCGGAAGCCCACAAACACACAGAACTCATTTAACTCGTCCAGTTTCCTTAGAGACAGTCAGGTTCGACTGACTTCAGTCAACAAAAGTGGAGCTGATTGGAGTTAAAGGCACATGGCAGTCATAGAATATTTGAAACTGTATTTTAATCTCAGATTTCCAAACAATGGAAAAAAAAGACCTTTTACAGTCCTTCTAACAGTGACTCTTTTACAACATAAATACTGTCCTGAAAAACAAATTCCCCAAAAAATGAAAACATTTTTCCTCAGCAGTCTCTCTTTGTGAATATTGAAAAATTTTAATTGGTTCTCCTCAGTTCTCAACAAGACAACATCAAAATAACAACAACCATTCCATCAGTGAGGCCCAGCCACCTCACTAAGCAGATAGTCTCTAATGGAGTTCTTTTGTTTCCTTCATGGTTCTAATTCTTTTAAAGTTCTAAGGTGTTAACAGTGCTCAGTTTTAGATCCAGAAGGAGGACAAGGATGTGGTAAAAGTCTGAGTGTGCAGGGAGAGGTGGTGATGATGAGGGGTGAGGGGCTAGTGCTCTGACCATCAGAAGAGGCTGGTCAGCGTTGTCTGTGATGGGCTCCGGCACTCGTGGACGTCCATACCGCCTGGCACCGACGTGAGTACAGAAGTGACAGTAGGCATGGTGGGGTTGGTTAAGTCTGTGAGGGTGGTGGGGGTGCTGGAGGGGCTCATGGAGGCGTTGGAGATCTCAGAGGCCGGGCCTGAGGGCGTCCCACCCTGGAGCGTGGAACCGTCGGACGCCTTGTCCACCCCGGTGCTCTCCTGCCGCAGCAGGTTCCTCCTGAACTTGGCCCGAGCGTTTTGGAACCAGACCTTCAAAAAAAAGAAGAAGAAAAAAAGAAGACATCTTGAATCAGAGTCAGTCCAAGATGGCTTGAGGCCCTAAACAGGATTTCATTTAACTACCCTCAACTGGCAAACATTTCTGTATTGTACATCTTACACAACCATCTTTACTGTACAACAACTAAATATTAGCAGTACAGTATTACATTAATTAATTTTATAACTGCTGCTTGAACCATTATATATTTATAGCAGCTGGAATAAACCTTCCACTGGGGTTTAATAAAATCTCAAGCACTGCTAATATTTAAACGCCACAATATTTTTCTTCAAAGGGAAGTCCAACTCATTTGATCAGCTACAGATTCAAATCTAAAATAATTCAACTTCCAAAAACATAACTGTCAAGTTGATTGGTTTCTCTGAATTCTCCTTAGGTGTGTGTGTGTGTGTGTGTGTGTATGTATGTATGTGTGTGTGTGTGTGTGTGTGGGAATGGTTGTTTGTCCTGTCTGTCTCTGTGTTGCCATGCGATGGACTGGTGACCTGTCCAGGGTGACCCCGCCTCTCACCCGTTGACAGCTGGAGACCAGCACCCCTCCTGACTCCAATGGGATAACGGTGTAAGAAGATGGATGGATGGATGGATGGATGGATGGATGGATGGATGGATGGATGGATGGATGGATGGATGGATGGATGGATGGATGGATGGATGATTCAACTTCATTAAACAGGATAGAATGAACATAGATTTTTTTATGACAATTGCTGTTTTTTATATAAGGTCTCCTTTAGAATTAGATAAATATAAAAACCACAAATTTTATATTTATCTGTAGATTGATTGAAGCTGTTCTGGAATATTAACACTGTTATATTACTACTATATTTGGAAAAACAAACTAATGAGGATTTTTTTTAAGTATTAGAAGTTTGTTATGTTATGTCTACTGCCCTGGCAGATGTAGATTGAAAATCAAAATGTTTGTTTATGAGAAGGCATCACACACACATATCAAAATATAATAAAACAATTTAAAAGAAAGATCAATTAAATTACAATTTATCTGTTTTTACTTCCTTTTTTACAAGAATGTATTTATTCACACCCTCCTGGTGTGAATAACATCAAAAAGAATGTCAAGAAGAAAATACTCTTCTTGATATTATTTTTGATATGTTAAAGTTTATCCATTTTAAGGACTGTTTTGCATTAATAAGCACTTATTAAGACTCTTTGGGTTACTTTTAAAATGAGAAGAAATGAAAGTCCACTTCAAAGGTTGGAGAAGACCGTCAGCAGTCTTCCTGTGAGGTTCATGTCAGGGAATCATTGGCTTAGGGATAAAAACAATTTAAAATGGCCTGTTCAGAAACCAAAAAGAAGAAAGTTAATTTGTTTAAACATCAGGTCTCTCTGACAGCCACCCGTTGGATTTAACACAGATTAAATGTGAAAAGTCCCAAGCCTGAGAAATGCAGAGCTTGCATTAGAACATGTTTATAAATGTATGAAAAAACTTAGCAGTAAACACAATAATTCACAAAATGCAGCAGGTCTACAATGTCCTATTTTCAATTCAACAAAAGACTTTAAGTAAAGATCCACTAGTGAATCACTCAGAAATCTGAATCAGACACGTTTTCCTCAACTGGTTGAACTAAAAAAATAAAACTGGCTGTAGATCTAAGGAAACGTTTTTCAGAATCTGATTTGGGAGGTCAGGTCTAAAAACAATGGAAATCGGTATCAATCAGAAAAGTCTGGTTAGTACAGCTACATGTTTCAGGTTTTCATCAAAAAGAAGAGCTTCTGTAAGATTTTACAACATGACTAAGTTTATCTCAATACAGAGAGCAAAGACCTCATGGTTAGAACTGTGGCGTCACACTGAAAAGGTCTTAGGTTCAAATCTCAGCTGGCAGGCGTGAAGTCTCCATGTTATCCGTCTGATTTGTTTCTCCCCAAATTCCGCTTAGTTTGAGTGGCCACTTTAAATCACCCTGGGGTTTGGCAGTGTGTGTGTCAGGGGTTAGGGTTAGCGGCCTGCGCAGAGTGTGTGCTGCCTTCTGCATCTTGACTGGCAGCACCGATCCCATCACTTCCTCCAGGGTTAGGCAGGTACAGGAAGTGAAAGGATGGGATTTAGAAACCGCTTCTGTGTATCACAACACACAGCTTTGGCACGGTCTCATTCTGTGATTGCCTTTAGCTCACTCTTTTAGTTTCTGGCTTGCTGCTTTGCTGCCATCGGTACAGAAAGCTTTTTAAACTCTAAAGAAAACTGAGAGTGAGAGGGAACAGTGTAAACATCGTAAAGCATTTTTCATGAGAAAAGAACCTTCCATGTCTTTGGAGACAGAAACGGAAGAGAAATATTTTACATAAACTAATAAACCGATGTCTGCAATTCTGTTGTTCTTAACATATAGGACACTATCTTAAAAAAAAATTATGAAACCCAAATCAAAAGAATGTCATGATTACAGCCGCCACACCAAACAAGCTGAACAGGTGAGAAAATTTCACATGACTGATTCTATGCATCAGAATCATTTTTATACACATTTATAAACTACTGAATGCGTTATTATACTTTCAGTGTTTTTCTTTGTTAATTCATTCAGAAAATAAAACTACAAGTAAAAGAATTCCAAGAAGATCTGTGGAGGAAGTTTCCGTTTCCTCTGATTGGAGCCAGCAGTGAGCATAATATATTATATCTTTGTCTTTTTAAAGCCTATTTGCTGATGGTCTAACTGGAGTCCGGGATAAAAGCAAGCTTAAAAACACAAAGCTGCGCTGCTCTTGTGCTGTGTACTAAAGTTATAAAAAGGCTTTACGTTTCATGGCTAGTCTCAGGAAAAATACAGCCTCTTCTTTTATGTTTGGACATAAAAATCCAGAGCCCATGGCTTCCTTTATTCACCAATCCTGTGAGGAAATTCTAATTGACCCGTCCACAGTGTGTGGGCATAAAAGCAGCTGTGATTTCAGTTCTTAGTCTCATGTTTGCTATGCCGTTTTCCTGAGGATTCCCAGGAATGACACTGGCCTCCAGCTCAGCACTGAAAACAGCCTCTACAAATTATTGTTTTTCTACACCAATTATTTGTAGTAATATCATATTAATAAAAAAATAATTGTAATAAAAAGCAGCGTGTGTGAGTGAGTGAGACAAAGTTGAGCACTGAGCCGAGTGTTGGAGCGTGTTAGCGACAGAATCATGACAGAGCCATGGGAACCGAGTGGCAGGAGAGGCTCTTCAACCGGAATAACAGGCAGGAAAATGCATCAAAGCAAAACGACTACAAGCTCTAATTAAGGCAGTAGAATATATTCCTTTTCCTTTTCACATTTTTCTTTTATTCACAACTCGTTTGTATTTCTTTCTTTCTCTTTCTCAGCTCCCCAGATAACATGTAGTACATGTCGTAGTGGAAATCAAACACCCTCTTGTGTCGTCTTTCCATATATTGAAGAACATTTTCCTCCCTGTCCTTCAGTCACCATCAGAGCATTATATCACTATCAGGACAGAGACGGAGCCTTCAGTCTGGGTAAGTAGACACACGATTAGCTTTCACCTTCCTAATTAATAAAACTGTAAATAAATCTTTTGCACTTCTATGATCATTCTTTCTTGCTCGGTGTTTAAGGTTTGGTTTGTTTTTTCAGAAAAATTCAGAAATAACTGATTACCAGCAATCACTTAATAATGTATTGATTTGACATGGAAATAAAGAAGAATTTGTAGTGAGTGTAAAGGGATTCTCTTATAGCCCTATTTTTGTTTATTTTGACACAGTCTTAAATTTAGTAATAGTCTTTAAACCAAAGACTAATTCAGTTTTATAGTCACAAATCCTTAACAAATCCTTCAAGTGCCAGAGAAAAGTCTGACTGTCCCGTTTGTCCCATTTATCAGTGTAACTAAAACCAGATGGAATCAGATTTCTACTTCTTCCAAAGTTTTTTTTTTGTTTTTATTCATTTACAAAAAATTGAAAACATTTTATCATAGTTATCATTTTAGATTAGTTTTATTTAAATTTTCAGGCACGACTACAATATTTTGCTAACAAAACTCACCATTGTTCCATGTACCAGAGTCTCTTGGTTCCAGACAGTGTTGCCCTCCAAACATTCGACATACAATGGCTGTTTAAGGTCTGACGCTCGTTTTTATTTAGTGCAGAAAAATGTTAAAATATGAACTTTTTTTAGCCCATTGGTCCCATCATATAAAGTTGTTTTTTTCTTGAGGTCGACCACTTTTTGTCTTTCACCTCTTAACCAGATTCAAATTGTTTAGACGGAGGATGATGCTGTCTTTCTGTCTATTCAAAGAAAATTCCTTCATACGTGTGTATTTCTGGGAGATTTAGAGAGTCAACTTTGTAAAACAAACAAGAGTTTATAGAATGATGCTATGTATTTGTGAATCATGTCTGTGTGATGTTTCCTTCCTTGTTCAGTCACAGAATGTGTGAACCAAGATGTAAGAGGCTGCGAGGGTTACCTGTAAGACCCGCTTGGTGAGGCCCGTCTTCTGGGCAAGCTGCTTCAGGTCCTTGGCGTCTGGGTTGTGGTTAATGGCGAAGTAGGACTTCATGGTTCGCAGCTGGTGGTGCTTAAAGGATGTTCGCATCCGCTTGGTTTTCTGACTGGAGCTGTACTGAGAGTCCCGGTCTATGGACTCGCCGTCATTCTCATTACAGCTCAGAGCTGTGGGGAGCAAGGGTAAGAGGGCAGGTTGAGTCGGCTGAACAGCATCATCATTATCGTTTTTATTCCTCTGCTGCTTATTAGCTTGACCCTTTAGCATTTTTATGCCAAACTCTTGTCGAGTTCGAAATCTCACATGAACCTGGTAATCGAATAATACAAGCCTCGGTGTGCATAAGCAACTTTTTAGTGCATCAATACTTCTAATAAAAGAACAGATTCCAAATTTGTAAGGTATATTCTGTATATATATACATGGGTCGTATATATACATGTGTGCTTGCTCTATCAGATGAAAAAAATCTCAAAAATCTCTATGCCTCTAATATTAAAAAGTATGTTATCATCTTTATTTTTAGCATAATAAAAATGAAAATTTATTGCTGTTATTATTTCCCTGATTCATCACTTGAGTCTGATGTAAAGTGTGTCCCTTCCAGCTGTCGTTCACCTTCCCCACCTTGCCACACAGGCCACTGTGCCTCGTATCTCTGCCTCTTCATCCAGGAGAGAGGTGAAAACGTAGCCTGGCCAAGCACACACGCTCCCAAACACACAGCAACCACTGAGACAACAGCACACATACAGTATATTCATCCCAGCCTGCAAATTTCTTGGCAATATTCAAGGTGTTGCCGCATGCATAACAGTTCAATATCGGAATGTTGTAAATGATGAATATGAAGTGAGTGAAAAGCACCAGAATAACACTTTACTTAATTAGCCCATACGCACCAGGCAGAACAAATGTTGTTTTCCAGCCAAAGCATATGCTGAGGCGCTTTAACAAACAAAACAGAACCAAAAAAAAAGGGAGGAAAAAAACAGTCATCTTTATGCTGCTTTTCTACTAACTTCATGGTCCAGCAGCAGAATGCAGAGACAATGCTACCTGATGGGGCCCGCTGAGGGGGGTTACCCCGTATTAGGGTTAGTCAGGTTAAGCTTTGCTGCTGTTTCTAGTAGGAAACAGGAGAGGGCGCACTACTTCTTCTTTCTCATTGCTCCTCAATCATCTTATAGCATAAGTTTGTTCCAAAGTTAAACAGGTTTGATTTGTTGTGCGAGTGGCTTAATGATTGTTTTTTTTTTGTTGTTGTTCTTTTTTTTTTATGAAACAGAAATAAAAAGACACAATAAAAACAGTTGCTGCTTCCAAAGCAGGAGAAAACTGTCCACTTGTTGCAGCTTTTTTTTTTTTTACTAAAACTGGCTGTCATGTTAAAACTCCGATGCACCCAAAGAGCAAAAATAAAATAATAATAAAAAAAACGTCATTAATGCCGTAGTTTCGTTTTGTCTAACTCCAGATCTTGACACAAATGTTACACATGTTCTGAAGATATAACAGTGAGGGACGCCAGAAAACGCTGCTGTTATGAGGTTAGCATGCTGCCTGCTCTCTCTTCCAGTGAATAACCCATCAAATCACATCGATCTGGCTGCTACACACCCATACTGGCCTTGTCCCAATGCAAAGAGGCTCCAGAAGTGGGTGTGTTTAGTGTGTGAGTGTGTGTGGTTGGGAACGGTTTAGGAGAAGGGGGATTTTAAGGGTCTGTAGATTTGGATAGAGTCTGACATGTGGAAAAGGGCAAATGCAAAAGAAGGAATCAAAGGGAAAAAAATAGAAATATAATTAAAACAAAAACACCTGAACAGAATGGAAAAAATGGAACGGAAAAAAGGACAAAACAGAAACTAAACATTTGCTGAGATTTAACTGATTGATTATTCATTGGAAAAAGTTGAACATACCTAGGTTTTACTTGTAAAATAATTTTAATACTCAAATTGACCAATTATATCACACTGCAAAAAGCAACTAAATAAAAATAGATTTCTCTGCACTTTTCTCCACAAATATAGATCAAGGATTTGTTTTTGTTTTTTTTATTGTCTGCACACTTAGACCCAACTTTTAATTATTTTTTATTTAGATTTCATGCAGAGGGACAGGCATGCACAGCAGCTTTTTGTCTGTGTTTTTAATTTTTATTTTATTTATTTATTTATTATTTTTTTTACATTAATCTAGGGGGTTATTGGAACATATTCAGTGAACAGGGCACGAGGTGGTCATTTAAACCGCAGGATAAGTGGTTGTATTAGTTGTTTTAAATTAAATTTGAGGCTTTATGCTTTCAGCTCTGTAGAAAAAAGATAACCATTTATACTTTATTCCAAAATAGTTTAACAGTTGCAAACTATTTTGGAAGTGTTAAACTATGAATGTTTTTTTGTTATTATTTCTATATTATTATTATTATTATTATTATTATTATTATTATTATTATTATTATTATTATTGAGTCAAGACTTATGTTTACCTCTGCGTTTTAGTTCTGAAAGTTAAAGCATTAATAGTGTAGTAAAGTAAAAACAAACAAAAAGAAGAAAGAAAGAAACAACAGTACGTCTCCCCTCTTCGTGCCCACACAAACATTTTGCAGACTGTTTTCTTACCCGCGTTGTAAGCAGCCAGCTCGGCCCCAGGCCCCGGGCTCTTCCTCTTCCTGGGCCGGCCCTTCTGCACCGTGCCCACGCCGTTAAAGTAGGATAGTCCCAGCGCGTTGGCCGGGCCCAGGCCCTTGTGCGCTACAACGTCCGCGTGGTTAAAGTGAGTCTGGTATTCTCCCTGAATGAGAGTCTCAAAGTGCAGGCGGCAGTACACCAGGCTGTCCTTCATGCCGAAGTGATCCCCGGTGGTCAGCATCTTGCTGCACGTGGTGCACGTGAAGCAGTTCAGGTGGTAGACCAGGTCCCGCGCGCGCATCACCATCTCCGAGGCAGAGATGCCCAGGTGGCAGCGCGCGCACCTCTGCACTGAAAATCTTCTGCGGACAAAACAGAGTCCATGAGCGGCAGAACGCGACCCCCGGTGACCCCCGTGACCCCAACTCCCACCCGGGAGGAATTCTCAACATAAACTGCAAAGTTAGAATCGAGTCAAGTTTTTACTAATATCAATTCAGATTTATCCGTGATGTTCTCACACATTGCCACTTCCGAATGGGTCTCTCATTAATAATAAACTGCAGCCTTCTCGTATTTTTTAAGAACTCTTCTTCTGATCTGTTCTGAAATGTCCTGAGTGAATGTCTCAGCGGAGCTTTCAAAACAATTGCATTTATAATTTCTAGTCATTTTTGTCTCCCCAAATTGACAATTTTAATTTCCAAGCAGTTCAATTTCTTTTTTTTATTTCGTTTACGCGTCACCTAATTTTAACTTTCACAAGGAGAGAGAGATCAGCAGAGTTTGAGTCGGTGTCAAATTCTGCAGACGTGCACTGGTATATTCCACTCTGCAGCGTGTTGATGACCCGCCACTCGAACACTAAATTGACTATAATTAACTCTAAAAAGTATCAAGCAAATCAAGAACATGCAGCTCGTTCTAAGCTTTTTTTGCTCCAAACCCGGGGCCCCCTCAACAAAACCCCCCCCCCCCCCTACCTGTAATAGTCCTCCTTGCAGTAGATGCTGCCGTCCTTGCTGAAGCAGGTGAGCTCGGACTCCAGGTTGAGTTTACACTCGCAGCATTTGAGGCAGCGCATGTGCCACTGCTTGTCCACGGCCAGCAAGTAGTAGCGATCCGCGATCTTCCTGCCGCAGCCCGCGCACAGAGCCACTCGCTCGCTGGTCACGCAGGGCATGGCCTGCAATGTGCATGAGGACATGGGGGAAACATACAAAAAATATATATTTAGAAATATTAAATATAGAACAGCTGGAATGCTTAAACAGTGCAGGTCAAAGGATTTTGGAAGCCACAGGATTAAGTTTATTTGTCTCTCCGTGTTTAGCAGATTAAATCAACCATGATTGAAACCTCAGTGGAAGAGACTAGTCAATAATACATAAATATTTATTTTTGAGTTATCCTTTACAATAAAGCACATTTTTAATTTCACAGATGAATTATTTAATATATAATTATAATATATAATACTAACATGTAAACATAAATTCGATTGACGCAGATTTGCTTTGTAACTCGACCATTTCTTTTGGTGTGCGGTTGTTCTATTATGGGCAGAAATATATTTTGTTTTTCATAATACACGTCTGCTGGTTTGTTAGAAGTTTTTGGAGTTGGGTGTTATTTTGCTCAGAGGCCTCGGAGACAATACACACCTCCAGGAATAAGGTGCACTTATTTTTTATTTCTGGCCCGGTGTGTTCCTTTGATTTAAAGTAAAACAGGAACATAGAAAACTTTCCTGCTGTTAAGAGCCAGTACCTCCGTTACTTCGAGCAGAAAGCAAAACGATGAAAAAAAAAAATTATATATATATATAAAGTGCGTGTGTGTGTGTATTTTTTTTTATTTCAATTTGCAAATTTGAACCAATTTGATGTTACAATGTACAATATCTGAAGCTCATTGAAATAGTCAAAAGACAGTATCTTTGTTGTCGTTTTTATTGAATAATTTCCTTAAATTTTCTTAGAACTTTATAAACTGCGGCCTGATTTATTTTTGACATTTTACTGCGACTAAACCAAGTTTCCAAGCTGCAGAATCAGCAGTATTTTAGGCCAAGACTGGGACAATGAAAATCTTCCCCAACAGTTGTTTACTCTGGTTTTCTTCTACGATGATTAAAATCAGTGGAAGGCGGAACAAGAGCACAGCCTCTGTCACATGTTTACAAGCGGCCATGCTGCCGACACTGAAAGCAGCAGAGAGAGAAGGCCAAAGAAAGGAGACAAGAAAAGTATCCTACCGTCTCTGATTCTCCCATATCGATGGCCGAGCTGATGGCCGCCGACTCGCCCTTTCCTCTCCGCTCCATTTCCTCCACCACACCGTGCACATCGCCCCCGGGGAGGCCATGGAAAAGCATCGTTGCCGCAGAGGGGAGGATGTTGTAACTGTTCTCTTCGGATCTGCAAGCCAAGATGTCCATCAGAGGCGCAGAGCCTGCGCCGGAACGCAGTGGCGACGCTCAGTTTTCGGGCTTTTCCTCGCTGCCGATGACAAGTAAGAAATCCAGTTCAGGGATTAAAAAAAAAAAAAAAGAAAGAAAAAAAAAAGAAGGAAAAATTGGACACGTGTTCTCCACACTACGTCTCATCTGCCAATGGCAATGATCATCCGAATCTCTGCAGTTCTCATTATTAATAAGCTCTGACTAATTCATTAACAGCCGCGTGGATTCCGAGTCTTTTAAAAAAATCAATTTTCTCTTAGGAAGATTTTTCTATTGTTATTTTTGCTTTCACAAACTGCTTCTTCTATATTTTCTGATCCATTTGTTGGGAGTAAACATACCAAGTACGGAAGCTCCCGTTGCACGGCTCTCAGCCTCCTCCTTGATGGGAGGAATGTTTTCGGATGTCGGCTCTGTGGAGGGGCACTGGCACAACCATCCGGGTTGTTCTGTGTGACTCTGGGCAGCAACTTATACAGGATAACACAAAAAATACAACAATTAAGAAAAAAGGTTGGGAGGGATGATTCTCCTCCTGCGGGATCAACAGTCCAAGTTGATTCTCACAGCAGCTGATGGAAACTACTTGCCCCAGTCACAGACAAAAATAAACTAGTAATTTAAAAAACAAACAGAAAGAAAAGAAAAAAAAACACGTGGCCTCTGCGTGATAAAGTCCCGTCGGTGATCTATGGGCAGCACTTTCCGTTGTACAGCCTGTTTAGTTCTTGTTTGGGCTCATGCCTGAAGATGCGTGTGCGTAACGGCAGCGGAGGAGGAGGAGGAGGAGCTGGCTTTACGCTCGCTGACTGTCCGCTGAACCCCCAAACCCGCCGGTCCTCCGTTTAAGGTCCCGGTAGAACCCTCCGCTCCTTATCTACGGGCCCTGTTGCGTCACGACGCAGCGCTTGTGTTCATTGGTTCTTCCGGGGTCTCGGAACAGTTCAGTTGTCTAATTTCACCGAGAAAGAAGCAGCTCTGAGAGAGCATGTGGCAGCAGCAGCAGCAGCAGCAGCAGCCGCGGTGCGCACTGTCCACAGCTGGGGCTAGAAAACTCTCTCTCTCTCTCTCTCTCTCTCTCTCTCTCTCTCTCTCTCTCCCCCCCTTTTTCTCTCTCTCTCTTTCTCTCCCTCTCTGTCTGTGTACGTGCTAGCGCCAGCAGTCTGCTGGGATCTTTATTCATAACTCTCTACCTCAGCCTCTCCAAAGCGATCTGTGCGCAACTTGTAAGGTCTCCCGTTTAAAGAGCTGAACCATTCTTGATTTTTCCTCATTTTGTTTTTGTCTTCTTGAAATAGATGTGAAATGCAATTTTAATTCTGCGCCACAGATGGATCACCTCGGATTTCATTCCCGAAGTTGTAGAAGTTCTCTCTACCAACCTTAACTAGTTTCCACTTTATGCTTTCCAGGTTTCTGCATCACTTCCCATGAGGCTGGCGTGGAGTAGAAAGTGTTGCTCACATAGTTTTTCCTCTATCAAAACATAGATGTGAAGCTGTATTAGTTTTCGATTTGATTTAATATTTTATAAATTAAACAGATACAATAATTAATGAAAACAATGGTTTTATACATGTCGTGTCTAGTCAAACAGCAGCTTATTTTAGCTCAATTTGGCAAGTCGGATTTTCATCAAGAAGTTGTTCATTTTCTCTCAACATCACTTTCTACTTTTTAGGATTTGACGTCACTTCTTCTTTTAAGGAGAAGTTGTCAAAGCAGCAGCATTTCCTCCCAAATGGGCCTCTAAGCCGCCGTTCAGTTATTTACGAGAATATATATATATATATATATATATATATATATATATATATATATATATATATATATATATATATATATATATATAATTTAGACTAAAATAACTTGTTACATTAGAAAACGTCAGATTAAAAATAAAACAACATGCACAGGGTTTAATCTAAAAATAAAATGTAAAAAAAAAAAATCTCTTTCTCTTTTTGTTTTAATTTTTTTTAACCAGATCCGTTGAAATAATTTATGATTTCTGCTCATTTAAGTTTGTGTTTCAACTTTATTATTATTATTATTATTATTATTATTATTGTTATTATTATTATTATTATTATTATTATTATTATTATTATTATTATTATTATTAGTCTATTTAAGCATGTTTTATCTCAGATGTGAGGAACCTTCCCTGCCAGTCAGTGACTGGACATCGTTTCGGGCCAGCAGCCTGACTGGTTCGTCCCTGCAGCTCCCAGACGGAGAGCAGCTCTCAACTGATCCTGGATCCACTCGCTCTAATTAGCTCTCCGCTCTTAATTGGAGATTCTGGGCTGGGGTGGGGATGGGGCGTGAGGACGGAGGTGATTGGAAGGTGGTTGCGGGGGGGGGGGGGGGGAACTGCGTCATCAGAGGACGTGTTTGAGGTTTTCTCCAGCTCCAAAGACTGTTGGAGAAAATGACACGTTATCACATCTCTGCTGTTGTTTAGAGGATCAGATGAAGCAGGAGGCGAAGAGGCTGAAATCCATCCAGCTGTTCAGTCCGTCGCGCAACCTGCCGACCCGAACAGCCAGGCGCCAAATTCACTGTTTGTTCCTTAATGTTTCTCCACAAAGAAAGACAATTAAAAGAAAATGCCCCCCTCCCTCCCCGTCCTCTCCCACATGCACCCCCACCTCCCCTCCCTGGTATAACAGCTCCCGTTTAGGCTATTGTGAAGTTTTATAGCACAAATATGATGTTAAGCTCCTAAATCCTCATGCAAATCACCTCCTCTGTAATACCTTTAATTGAATACATGCATATTTATCATCTGCTTTTTCTACCCGCTATAAGGCTGGCTTTATACATTAAACATAGCTGCAGCGCTCATGTCTGCAGGCGAGGAAGAAATGTGATATTAGGCAGTGGGCTGAGATTAAAGAATCAAAATAAATGTAAAAAAAAAAAAAAAAAAGAAAGAAAGAAGAAAAAAATCGGAGTTTGTATGTATTAGTGTGTGAGAAGCTGCCATGTTCTCATGGATTGGCACTGACGCCATGTATGCTGTAATTATCTCAGTAACCTGAGCCAGAATTTCTCCAGCTTCAGCGCAGATCACAAGAGTTAATAATAGTGGTAAAAAGTACTGCGCGGGATAAAATAGTCCTATGATGCATTTATTGTAAAAGGGGTAAATTACACACGTGTGCGCGCGAGCGAACGCTCGCACACACACTCCAATACACACTTTGTATTTGTTAACATGGGGGCAACAGACCCACATCCTCAGAGCAGGGGGATAAAAAGATGCCAAGAAGAGAATGAAAAGACAAGCCGTCAGCAAACTGCGCCCCTCCGCCTCTTCTACCAGGCTGCTGCGCTTCATAAAGAGCTCCTCATTAAGACTCGCACTATAAGTTTATGGCAACTAAATAAAAAAATAGGTTCGTCGTTGTTCTCAGACAAACAGATCACAGTGTGAATAAGTGAAGCAAACTGAGATACTATTCTGTTCTTTATCTTTATCTTTAACTACAGATTAATTCCATAACATTGATAGAAGAAAGGAATAAACGGAGCAGAAGAAAATATTACCGTCATTTGTCTTATATGTACTTCCTCAACATTATATTATTATTATTATTATTATTATTATTATTATTATTTACTTATTCTTCTGTTAGGATTATTTTGCACATTTCGTTTGTCCAAAAAGAAACAAATTATAAGAAAATTATTTGTGTACAAGGTAGAAAAAGAATGACTAAAATAGCAATAAACCTTTTAAATTTCTTCTCACAAGTTAGCATGTAAACCCTAAGATGCGCAATTCATTTGCAACGACCGCCTCGCATCAGGGTTGGAAGCTCAGCTGGCTGCCAAGTTTGACTTCAGCATTAACTCTGAGCCTGAGCTGATTAGAGATGGACGCAACGTCCTCAAACTTAAATCTTACGACTCTGTTTAAGTTTCACCAAACTATTGCTAATCCTTGATGAAAGTTAAAAGGCTAACAGTGATGCTAGCCTTACTGTTCTCTGCTGCGCGGCGCCAACTGATGACGATGGCGGGTGACTGAACAAACACCATCAGGTTTATTTGTATAAAATGTAAAATAGTGGATCCTGCATTAATGTAGGTGTTGTCACAAGCATTTCTCTATTTTCTTTTATAATGTCACAATGAAGAATATTTACATATTATTATTATTATTATTATTATTGATTTGTTTAAAACTAACAACAACAATTTATTTTCTTAATCAACTTTGTTGGATTAAGAGGCTCTTGGAATTGTACAGAGATATGCAATCCATCATAAATAAATAAATAAATAAATAAATAAATAAATAAATTCTAGGAGTGTTTTTATTAAATAGCAAACTTCAAAACAGTTTCAATAATACTGAATTTGCAGTATGTACAGTGTGTGTTGTACAGTTTGATTTCTATGGGAATTCCTGGAGTTCCCTCCTGATGACAGGAGCATACAGTGTGCATCTGGGACGGCAGCCACACGCTCTGCAGATCTTCCAGCTACACTCCCGTCAGTAGAGGTCCAGGATGGCTGGCGGTTCTGTCTAGTGATGCTTTTTGTCAATTTGATCACAGCTTTGGGGTCCAGAAGAGTTTGGGTTATGATTCAGCTTGCCAGAATATTCCTAGAGTCCTTACACGGAACATCCTCTGTCCCTGCAGAAAGAAGAGCTGTCCTGCATTTATGTGATGCTTCAGCTCAGATCCTCAACGATCCCTAATACTTGATGCTTCTGATTGCCGTCCTAACCCCAACGTCAGTCTCCTCCAGCCTTGAGCTCATGAGCTCATGCCGATGTTGAGCAGAAGCCTGTTGTTGACCTGGAGTCCATCATCAAAAATACATCAACATATAAATAATTAATTTTTTTAAATATATATATATATATATATATATATATATATATATATATATATATATATATATATATATATATATATATATATATATATATATACTCTCTTATATATATATATAAGAGAGAGTGGCAGTATGAAAATTATATGATTGTATAGCACAAGACCATTCAAAGTACTTAAATAAAGATTTAGAAACATTAAAAAGAGTTTAAAACACACAAAAATACAGTGCATAGTGATAATTTATTCAACTGAAACGGCAAATAAAACTGTCACTTTTTTCAATAAGAGTTTAAGGCTTAAAAAGGCTTTAAAGGGTCTTGTATAAAATCAAACCACAGCAATATGTACATGTACATAATTTTACAGTCATCAGTTATTACAGAATACATGTGACAATGTAACTCCAAACCAGCAGAAAACACAAGGCAGAAAAAGAACAGAGTTTTTCAAGGGGCAGACAGAAACAGAGCAATTTTTTTTAATGGGGGTTCTGCTTTACCCATAAAACGTATTCACCTCTTTGGATATTTCCTCTTTTGTTTTCATCTCTTTAAGAAATCAATCATCAACAAAATTTGGCTTATCTGACAATCAAAAAAATCGTTTTGATGCCAAAGTGAAAACTGTTTCCTCAAAATAATGACAAAAATGTCTCACGCATTCTCACTATGTGTGGATTAAAACTAACAATGACAATTTGTTTTCTTAATCAACTTTGTTGGATTAAGAGATTAAGAGTTAAAAACCATTCAGTTCCTCCAAAGAAAACATTGATGTGTGGCCAATGTGAAACTTTTAGCCAACAACTGCACACTCAGAAGTAGCACTAAGACTCACCAAAAGAACCTTATAACCACACTGACAGGTGAGGGGGCAGCATCATGATCTGTCAAACTGTTCATTGGATGAATCTGAGGTTTTTGTTAAAGTGGAAGAAATGACGAGCAGCTAAAAATACAAGGTCTGTCAGTTTGGACCCAAAACCTGCAAGTGTCTGAAAAAAGAAAAAAAAAAAAATGAAGGCAAAAAGAAAACGTAATTTTTCAACCTCATGTCGAGTTCAAGGATACATCAAGTCAACAACACAAAGGCTGCACCAGAAAAACATGTTCTAGGATGACCCAACCAGAGTCCAGCACTGAATCCA